TGGATTTTCTATGATATTTGAATGTCAATTAATTGGTAGGAAATTTGTCGGAATGAACTAAAGCAGGTGGACTGCAAAATATTGATGGGGATAAATTTTGGCTCCACGGGTGCTCAAGTACGTGGAAGTTTGAGTGACACTTGCTGTCTGGGTTTGACAGTTATTACCCATCATGCTTTGAGATATTTGAAAGTGACTGCAATATTTTATACCCTGAAGGCAGACAAGGCGTAATAAATAACAAGAATGTTTCAACTTTGAGATCTTGTAATAATATGTATACTAAGCCTGAAGGTGGCACTTTCCTACGGCGGCCATCTTGGATGGTACACATACACAACTCTGCATTGCTGCGCCATCTTGTCTGCACTCTAGTTGTTTAATAGCTCTATGGTTCCCCGCCACCAAAAACTCAGCAGGCTTTGATTACCAAAAGATTGAACACGGCAAAATGGATAGCACGTTCTTTTCTCAATGCGCACTACTTACAGTCTATCACTATGGCTGCGCAATCGTTTCCATCTTGAAGCTAATACATTGATCATTCAAGAAATACTAAACATAATAATATTTTCTAAAAAAAAAAAATTGAATTTAATGAAACATTTGCATCAGCTTTAAAAGTATGGTATATAGCAACTTGAATTTCCATAAATTGGATAAAACTCGATAATTCAAATTTTAACAGATATTAATTAAGGAATGATGGAGGATTATAATAAACTAAGTCATTTTAGGGTTAACGAGGATTAACTACTCAAAAATTCAATCCAGATTCAGAGTAATTTTCAGTTTTACGCTGCCTTAGCTTTATAGTCAAACAAATCGATCTTTAGACAAAATTATAATGAACACAGAAGTAATTTTAACAGAAATATTTTGCGGAATCTGTTTCTGAAATATACACATTATAACATACCGTACTAAAAGTCCGAAAAAATCCAATCGGGGGAACATTGTTTATTATAAAGATTTTAATGTGTTAAAATCCAACGCTTTATCGCACAACTGCTGTGCTGGGGCGTATAAACGCATGTCGTTGCCAAGTTGTGAAAAATGTGAATTATAGGGTAATACCGTACTCGCGCGAATAAGCGCCCCGTTTTAATAAGCGCCCCTCAAAAAGTGAAAAAAATATTTTAAGCGCCCGGGCGCTTATTCGCGCGAGTACGGTATAGTCCACTATTATGGTATTATAATAGGTTTACAGTTACATTTTATAATTTGAATAAACGCACCCCCCCCCCCTCAATAATTCAATCAATCTTGGACTGTGGATGTTGGCATGATTTGAGGTGTGGATTGGAATCATATTCTCCTTTAGTCAATATCAAAATGAGTATATTTATCTTGGACAGATGAGAGCTCCCTGGACAGACAGTACCGGTATATAAGAACCCTTCGATTTTTTTCTATTTCCATAAGCGCCCCACTCTGTTTTGATAAACGTCCCGTTCGAATAAGCGCCCCGTTTGAATAAGCGCCCCTCAAAAAGTGCAAAAAAAATATATTACAGCCAGGTTCTCACGATAGCCCTCGTATCCGGATCGGGAGCTAACCGTTAGCGCTAACCGTTAGCACCTGCGTGAGAACGCCCGATCGGTTAGCGCTAACCGTTAGCGGTATCCGGATAAGCTAACGGTTAGCAAGCGCTATCGGTTAGCAAGTCGAGGGCGTTTCTATCATCAACCAATCACACGTACGCGTTTACAATTTCTAGTTTCTTATTGGCCAGTGATTCGATCAGGTATCCGGATCGGGATTTTTTTCGCATGGACACACGGCAGCTAACGGTTAGCAGGATCCGGATCCTGCTAACCGTTAGCTGTCGTGTGAGAACATAGCAATTGGTTTGTCGCGTCAAAGGGATCTGTTGCCGAGTGATCTCCTTCTCAATAATACCTCCATGATCAAAGTAAACAGAAATGAAGTGCGCGAATTACGAATACGAATATTTCGTCCGAATATTTACGCTAGCGTTCGTTAATCGCCAATCTGGACATCTCGCTAGTTACACTATGGATTAACGCACGCCCGGCCTTAGATACGCCTGGCGTATCTCTCAGGTCTGAACGTAGCAGCTAGGTGGATCCTGCTAACCGTTAGCTGCCGTGCGTCCATACGAGAAGATCCCGATCCGGATACCAAGAATAATATGATGATCGAATCACTGGCCAATAAGAAACTTGAAATTGTAAACACGTACGTGTGATTGGTTGATGATAGAAACGCGCTCAACGTGCTAAACGATAGCGCTTGCTAACCGTTAGCGCGCGGTATCCTTGATACCGCTAACGGTTAGCGCTAACCGATTGGGCACACAGGTGCTAACGGTTAGCGCTAACGGTTAGCTCTCGATCCGGATACTAGAACTCTTATGAGAACCAGGCTTAAGTTTGAATATCACGTACCGAAATACTTCGCGTGCGCGTCATAACACGCGCGTACGCGTGAGTCAAAATCTCAAAATGTTCAGAAAAAACGTGAACTTAAAGATATCATTGCTAAAGTCAGGAACCCAAAACATGTAAAAAAACAAAATTTTCAGCTTCCGTACCTGCTGCGCGCGTAAAAATGCGCGCGCGTACTGAAAAATTGAACAAAATATTAGCCTGGTTCTCACGAGAGCCCTAGTATCCGGATCGGGAGCTAACCGTTAGCACCTGCGTGAGAACGCCCGATCGGTTAGCGCTAACAGTTAGTGGTATCCGGATACCGCTAACGGATAGCAAGCACTATCGGTTAGCAAGTGAGCGCGCTTCTATCATCAACTAATCACACGTACGCGTTTACAATTTCCGGTTTCTTATTGGCCAGTGATTCGATCATGATATTCTTGGTATCCGGATCGGGATTTTTCGTATGGACGCACGGCAGCTAACGGTTAGCAGGGTCCGGATCCTGCTAACCGTTAGCCTCCGTGTGAGAACAAAGCCGTTGAAATGCTCAGAATGGCCTGAAACGTGCTCTAGTGATTTCGAGCATTTTTAAATTTTTGACGCACGCGTACACGCGCGTTATTAAGCGCACGCGTAAAATTAGGGTACATTACATTCAACATTAACCTGAAGTTATTGATGATGATGATCCTGACAATAACAAGACAGAAAAAAAAACTTTGATCAAGTTAAAACAAACATTAAACAAGTTTGGGAAGTGATAAATTCAGTATTAATCCCTGGTAAACAATTTAACAAAACCCCCAATGTTTTTAAATATTATTATTAATTAATAACTATGTTTATTACATGAACTCTATTTGTCTTCACTTTAATAATTATTTTTCTGAAATTGGTTCAACTACTAGTAATTCTATACCTGAAAGTAACATTGACCCACTTTCCTATTTGCCACCTCCTTCAACAAATTAATTTTTCATTTACCCAGTTTCAGAATATGACGTTTTAGATATTATTAACACTCTTGACCCTAATAAAGGATCAGGTCATGATTTACTTACACCGACTGTTTAAAACAAATTGTTCCCTCTATTCTAAGTCGCATTACGTACATTAATTAATTTATCTTTTAATACAGGAACTATACCTGATCATTTGAAACTGGCTAAAGGTTATTCCAATATTTTTAAAAAGGAGATCGAAACTTGCTTAATAATTATAGACCAATATCAGTTCTCCCTACTTTTTCGAAAATCATTGAGAAATTAATGTACACTCGCCTTTACAAATATCTCACTAAAAATAATATACTTAACAACCACCAATAATGACTTCCGGAAAAATCATTCTACCAGTCATGCTATTCTTGAAACTCAATCATTAATTCGTTTGAAAAAAAAAAAAAATTATTAAGCACTTTTCTTGACTTATCTAATGCTTTCGATGTAGTAAATCATGATATTTTAATTTCTAAACTATTTCGTTACGGTATTAGAGGTGTTTCATTAGATTGGTTTATTAGTTACCTTAAAAATCGAAAGCAGTATGTACAAATTGATAATTGTAAATCATCAGAGAGGACCATAAATTGTGGAGTGAAACAAGGATTCGTCCTTGGACCTCTTCTTTTCCTAATTTATGTTAATGATTTATTTTCAGTTAGCAAAACTTTGCGTATTGTTACCTTCGCTCATGATACAACTTTATTTTATTCAAATGATAATATTAAATTATTGAATAATAACTTTAATTGAGAATTAAACAAATTAGGCATTTGGTTCACTTCCAATAAACTCTTTCAATATTTCGAAAACAAAGTTTATTTTATTTCACACGCATCAAAAGAAGAACAAGTTAAAAGCACAAAATATCAATGTTATTTTAAATGGTAAAAAATTGAAAGAAAAAAGTAAGTTTTATTTCTAGGTCTTTTATTATATGAAAACCTTAGTTGGACAGTGTATTGCAAATAGAATTTCGAAATATATAGGTTTAATAGGTAAATTAAGGCATTTCTTTCCTCAACGGATTTTACTTTCTTTATACAATTCATTTATCTTACCACATTTAATATATTGTAACATGCTATGGGCTGCTGATTACCCCTCTAATTTATTGAAAATATTTTTATTACAAAAACGTGTTGTTTGTTTAATTATCTTCTCTTCATTTAGAACGTCGTCTGAACCTTTGTTCAAGAAACGACCTCCATAAGGTTCAAATTGCAGCATTTATGTTTCAATATGTTAATAATATGTTACCGATATCTATATCAAATTTATTTTTTAATCGTTTAAGTTTTCACAATTATAACGTTAGAAACCCACACAAACTGTTTGTTCCTTTTGTTAGACTAAATAAAAGTCAGTTTTTTATTATTTTGTCAGGACCAACTTTATAGAATAATTTTGATACTGATATCACTGATTATAAAACTATAAAATCATTCAGAAATCATTTGAATACATTTTAACTGGTTATCAATCTGAGGACTCAAAGTTTTATTGCACTAAACTCTGTATATTTTATACTATTATTTACAAAAACGTGTTGTTTGTTTAATTATCTTCTCTTCATTTAGAACGTCGTCTGAACCTTTGTTCAAGAAACGACCTCCATAAGGTTCAAATTGCAGCATTTATGTTTCAATATGTTACCGATATCTATATCAAATTTATTTTTTAATCGTTTAAGTTTTCACAATTATAACGTTAGAAACCCACACAAACTGTTTGTTCCTTTTGTTAGACTAAATAAAAGTCAGTTTTTTATTATTTTGTCAGGACCAACTTTATAGAATAATTTTGATACTGATATCACTGATTATAAAACTATAAAATCATTCAGAAATCATTTGAATACATTTTAACTGGTTATCAATCTGAGGACTCAAAGTTTTATTGCACTAAACTCTGTATATTTTATATTATTATTATAATTATTATATTTATTATTACTATTATTATTATTGTTTTTATTATTATTATTATATTTATTTGTAGTGTAATTTTTTTCTGTCCAATTTCATTTGGGGTCACTATGAGACAGGTTTTACTTCTAATTTTGATCCCGGTATTGGTCTTGTTAGTAAACATAAAAGTTTATAATGTATTTCATAGTAGGCCTATCTGTTATTGTAATTGTTGTAATTTTCTCCTTTGACCATTATGCAGTAAATGTTAGTGAACCTTGAAATGTATATGCGCGTATCTGTGTGTGTGCGTGTATGTGTGTGAGTGTATATATATATATATATATATATATATATATATATATATATATGGCAGAGTAAGAAGTGGCAGAGCCCGAATTGAACATGTTTTGGAACCCTTTGGTGAATCGACTTTTGTATTATAGACAATTGAAAGATTGTGAACGGTTTCGTTCAGCACTAATTAAAGGTCACACAGATGTATAGTTATAGGTGGAATCAAAACTTCGCAAAATTTGACCAGATGTCAATAATTTACCATATTTTTATATCCATGTTCGCAGTAGATACACTTGACTCCGATCACAGATTACCATTGTTTTTGGCATGACATAAACTTTTAGTGATCTTATGATGTTCTATTTATCAAAACTTGTCGCGACGTTCATATAATAAGCGTGTGCGAGCAAAGCCAGCTCACCCTCTAAAATAAACCGAGTACAGTATTAGTATTCAAATAATTATTAATGATAATAAACATGTATTACCTGCGCAAAAACCTGCCCCACAAGCATTGAGTTTTGGAAGAGAGTAGATGAAATACTCGCCACAGTTTTTTACTCTAATGTTGGAGGACCACTTACAACAATTTGTCACACCATTAGTGCTTAAACTCTTGCAAACTTGTCTGGTTACTATACCGTTATCAACAGACGGATGAGCTCCTAAACAGTGTATGAATATATAAATATAATTGTATGAAATTAAATTTTTTAGACTGAATTGTTCCCAGCCCTCAAAATATTCTTACAAGAAGGGCTGCCTATTCTATGCTGTGCTTCTGTTCAGCATCTGGACGAAATATATATACATGTAGGTCCTATCATGTGTTATTTTAATTATTTGATTTGTTTCATTAATGATACGCAACAAAGGTAGACAACGGTTAAATGGTGAAGATACAAACTCGAAAAATATTGAGATGCTAACTTGAATATAAAAATATATTGGTCCTACCATTCATCCATATTGGACTGTGCACTCCGCATCGGTCGACAACAACACATGCAGTTGGCATTTTGTTGCCACCATTACCGGTAAATTGGTACCAGTAGGCCATCAGGGCGTTTGAATCACATGCTTGACCGGAATCCTTCTGGTTTTTGGTGCTTCGCCACGGCTGAACGAGAGTAAATCGATTGACGCAGTTGTTTTCTATGAAAATAATAAAATATATCATGCATTAATAATAATATTAATTAATATTGATGATGATGACGATGATGATGATGATGACGACGATACCATACGATACGATATTTCTTTATTATTATTTATACATACAAACAAACATACTTACTTGTCTCCTAAACAATTTTACCGCATGTCTCCCAAAGTGGTGGTGGTGGTGGTGGTGGTGTGTGTGTGTGTGTGTGTATGTATATAAATGACTAAAAAATATAGAAATACATGTATGTTGACCTTACTCAATCATCAACCGTATTTCTATGTATTTTAGTCACTAGGCAATTTTATCTGAAGAGTGTCACACCATGTGTGTGGTACGAAACTAGGTAGTAAAAAAATGATAATCAAAGCTACTGTTGAACCTCTCTTTATATATAAAGATATATATATATATATATATATATATATATAATATAATATACATGTTATGAATATACATATATATATATACACCTACATACACACACACACACGCACATAATTATATATTATATGTTGGGTTCTTCCGAGTTTCACGTTAAATGGAGATAGTCAGACACTGTCTGAGTCTTAGTATGTATGTCCCAATACTGGCTAGAGTCGAAGTCAACCTGAAATCAGTTGGACATCAACCTCAACGTACATACAGGCTCCCACCATCCATATAGGAAACCCGGAACATTAAGTCATTTTTTATTGTTTTAACACGCCCCCCTCCCCAATTCTGCAAAAGCGCTATATCTATCGCTAGATGCACTTCCCACGAGACACAAGATCCACAAAATAGTCAACAAAACAATGTGAAAATAAGCTACAGCTGCATGAAAAAAAAATTCTATCAAGGGACACAACACGCAAATCATTGAAAATCATCAAGCAACAGAACTCAAAACATGCAACTGCACCCTCGTGGTGAATGTCTGAGCAGTCAGTTTAGTGGTTTATAAATTTACCACAACATTCTAACGCGGGCCAGAAATCATACATTGGGCTATAAGACAGAGCATTACAACAACTACTGTATTCAATAATCACACCAGAGGGTGGCTGGAAGCGCTAAAGTCCCCTCGTCACTGAAGCCTAGCGCCTCCCCCCTCCCCCCGGTCGGGGAAGACAATACATTCCGTCGGGGAACAAAAAAAAATTTTTTCTAAGTATTTTTACATGTCTGTTGGTTTAGCAACCATATCACCTTCATTGACCTATTTGTTTTTGTTAAGTTATCCGACTACCGTATAATTCATATTCAATCGGTGTTGTTGATGTGGATCCACGTATGTCTCATCGTAGGAATAAATCAGTAGGTAGACGCAGACAAAATAAACTGCTACGATACTTTGACTTGTAGGAGACATAGAAATATTTATTAGCGAAATTTTCGGCAACTCCTGTTACCTTCGTCAGCGCATGAGTATCAATGAGAAACTTAACAGAATACATAAGACTATACAATGGGTGATTAATCACCAGATCATAAACAATAGGTTACACAGTCTTATCACTAGCAATAGTTTATAAGGAGGCCTTAAGTCTGACATAAGCAAATTGGCATAAATAACTGGTCAGAGTGGCAAATCTAATGAATGGTAAACAAGGAAAT